TACCCAAAAACGCGCACTTGGCAGCCAATGCTGCATATGTAGCAGCGACTTTAAGTAATGAAAAAGAAATAAACAGCATAGCGCTGTATACATCAACTACCCTTGCAATGCCGTAGCGATCACTAACTTAGGTCACCTATTGGCATCATCGCGGCCAAATTCGAGCTAAATCTACTTCTACTCACCGTCGCTGCCCGCCGGCTCCCTTCCGCTCTTTCTGCTTCTCCTCCACGCCCGAGCACTTCCTCGCGCCTCGTTTCTTCGTCAAAATTGAATTCGGCGCCGTAATCGGGGGACGGTATTCTCGGGCTGGTGACGTAGCGCCTATTGGTGCCTTAAATACGGCGACAAATTCAACCGGATGCCGCGCACAGGCCCGTGGATCTTTTGCGGAATTCAGTGAGCCCTTTCTTCCTCAGTCGCCAGGCCCTCAGGTTCTTCCGCATTCGCCGTGAGACCTCGACTGCTCCGTGCCGGCCTGTCTGGTCGTCAGAGGACCGGCGGACAGGAAAACGCTTAGACTGAACAAACAACCGTATAAAGCGAAGTCTAGCTTCTCTAGAGCTGCCAGGTACTGCACGGCTATATGGGACCCTTACACTAAGCACAACATTGAGAAGCTTGGGCAGGTTAATACTAAGGCTGCCAGGTTTATTACACACATACACCTGGTATTGCATCTCACATAAAAAAAAAATATATGGACCTGCTCGAGACACGAACTTCCAGTCATGTACAAAATCACAAACGACCTTATAGACATCAACAAACACGAATACTTACAAGTAGCACACTCACGCAACACAAGGAACTCACACACCAGTAAATTCGTCACATACCACACCAACACTGACTCTTACAAGCACTCATTCTTCCCACGCGACTGGAACAGGCTCCCCCAACATATAATTGAAACTAAAACACCCAATACACAAGCTAAACAAACACTTAACACTACAAGCACCTTCTCTAACACCGATACTTCCACTTGCACCTTAATCCTTCTCCTTTTCCTCCTGCAACCAACCGCCAATATGCGTGTTATGCGCTCATTAGCGCCCTGCGCATTATCATTGAGATTGAGAAGCTAGGGTCACACTAGTCTTCTATGTCCTGGGTTCCATAGACAGCCACGCCGAAGTCAGGTCAGCTGACAAATCAAAAGCTATAGAAGGCCAGACTTCGGTGAGGCACTGGGACCTATCGCTTGTTTGGCTGGCCATTCTACCTGCCCGACAGTACGTTTGTCAGTCTGGCCGCCGCTGACAAAAAAACTAAACACATCTGCCGAGTTCTGCTAATTGGGCTTCTGCCCAGCGCATGGGAGCTACGGCTAAAAAAACAAGTGTTTGACAGCCGGAAAGTTCATAATTAAACTTGGGGGAAATCAACAACAAAAATGGACAGATGTAAGATAAAATTGGAGAAGGGAGATAATAGGTAGAGAAGAGAAAAGTAAAGGAAAGAAAATGAGTGGTAAGGCAGAAGTTCACACGAATTAATATATCAGAGAAAACAGAGTACTTAGAAAAAAAAGAAATAGAGATGAAATCATAGTCGGGGATAAAAAAGTTAAGGGAGAAGAATGAAGAGAGGAGCAACCGGCGGAAATGGACAGGGAGGATAACGGCCAAAAAGATGGAAAATTTATCCCTGGTGTCCCATAGCGCAACACCTCCGTCCACATTCCAGTCTGTAGAGTCGAGGCCACCCCAGGTCACGTCCGGCGC